ATCTGAAATCTACTAAAGGAATTTTGAAAACGCAATTAATGTTGTATTTAATTTGTTCATTCTTGTCACCCCAGGTACTGCTCGAGTGGACCAATGAAGAGTTAAAAGACCATAGAATAATTGTCAAGGACATCGAAGAAGATCTTTTTGATGGACAAGTGTTGGGTAAACTACTTGGTACGTAAAAAATAGGCAGTTTGTATAGACTTGTTTTGTGTTGCAAAATTGGGGTACCTGTACAAAACAATAGTGAGAAGATGAAAACAAAAATTGTATTTTAAAATTGCATTCCCACTTTGTACATCTATAAGCTCCATTTAAGGCATTTGGTTATGATTATCCGGAAATAAAATTTAGAAGAAATACTAATTAGAATAAAATGGATTTAAGTGAACAACAATGATAAGTATATTTGATTTGGTGGTTAATTAAACACCACAACCTGCAGTGATTGTTTTTTGCTTCTGTGTTCCAGCATTTCAGGATTTGTTGCCATGCCAACTGATTTTATCATATTTAATGTTGGTCACAATGATCAGGGGGATGTTTTCTGCATAAGTGAAAATGCAATCAATTGAAACATCAAGACAATTCCTGTAAATAAATGATGTGATGTCTTGGTTTATATTTTTGATCACTAAGGAAATATTTTTAAGTCTACATAAAGTGCTCCCTCTAGCATTCGTACAATGTTTATATGTGACATTTTTAAGAACTATCCCACTGACTACTGTAAAAGGATCAAATATTCACTGGGTTTTAATTTAGCACATTTTCCAGTCGGCGAAATTGAGCAAAATTAAAACCCAATAAAATTTAGCATAGAACATATTATCTAAATTTAAAACCCACTGAATATGCCTGAAATTGTAAATCACAAAATTTAAACCCAGTGAAAATTAATCATTTTGCAGTAAATATGCTTTAAATGGCTTTATCTAGTCTGATGCTTTGGGTCTTCAGTGTTATTGTCATAATACAGACTTTGTGTCTACACCATATATTTATGATTAATGATATAATACTGACTGTTTACATCCTTACAGACATAATAACATTTTGGGTCTACAATCTACATCATTGCAGACTTAAGGTCTAAATTGTTATGGTCGTAATACAGATTTCCCTTTCTAATAGTGTTTATAAATGTCCTTAAGTTGATACAAAACAATGCAATTTATGACTACTCATTAAAGCGGGGGAGTCGTCACCTATGCATGCGTCAGGAGGCCATAGCGTGTCATTGTTTACGAACAAGCGTCTACCCATGAGCCTTAGGTTTTTAGCGTGTGTTGTTATCATTGCTTGGGACTCAAGTCCTGCGCGTCTGAAGGTGACGATCCTCCCGCTTTAATAAATACATGCAACACTCGTCAATACAAATGATAGTCACTGTGGCTATATATTCCTTGCAGCACTGCTTGTTGACTAGGTAAATAAATACCACTTCCAATACAACAAATAACTATTTAGATATGTTTTATTCAATTGTACAGAAAAATTGGCGAATATAAAGTTGGAAGTTGCTGAAGTGACTCAGTCTGAAGCGGGACAGAAGAAAAAGTTGAAAACAGTACTTGATGTGGTGAATAAAATGTTGAATCTACCACGGTGGCATCAGCAGAAATGGAGTGTAGATAGTAAGTAGTATTGTAAAATCTGTATTGAAAGCTGTGGTTTCTATTAAAATGGCACAACACAAAAAGATTTGGCTTCTATTAGAGCATCTGCACATTTGATTAATGGTTAATTTTTGTTCTTAATTGTTTAAAAATTAAGGGTGTTGCTTTTATTAAGGATGTGGCTTCTGATACTGATTTTACAGTACAAATCGTTTATAGTGAAAATTGAAATTTACTGCAAGACTTGACTGATAGATGATTTGCAGGTTTCAAGAGCGTATTATAAGTTGTTTAATTATGTAAGTGTGCTGTAAGGCTTGTTTGAGGTTTGTGCATGACGCGCACCATTAGTGGCTCATTTTTACCCATTTTGTACAAAATAACTGCACATTTGTAGAGGTTCAGAGTGCAATAGTTTACCAACCAACACTATTATATCAAATAGATACTTGGAAGATTATCTTAGTAGTTTTATAACATCCAACTAAGAACAACAACAAAATGGCAAATAATTATGTTTGTATAGGATAATGTACGAATCGTTCAGATTTAGAATTATATTAGTTTCCTATGTAAATCGCTTGTGCGTCTATGTTTTACAATACGTCAACCACACCTTGAGTGCATGACTTTGTATAGATGGCTCGTTGGCACCTGTGCAATCTAGATGTGTACTTCACTAGGATGCAATTATACAGATACTATCCCCTGAAAACAAAGAAGTTAAGAAATCAAAGTGTTGTAATATCTTTTTATTCATTAGGTATTCATTCCAAGAACCTGATTGCAATTCTTCATATGCTGGTGGCTTTAGCATTTCATTTTAAAGCACCAATCAGAATACCAGAACATGTAGCTGTACAGGTGGTAGTACTTCAGGTATGTAAATTATGCAAATTATATCATTTGCATCACCAATCAGGATAACAGAACATGTAGCTGTACAGGTGGTAATACTTCAGGTATGTAAATTATGCAAATTATATCACTAAATCACCAACTATGTTGCAACATTGCCCAGTGGATTATTCATATTACTGATTGTCTGGCGTCTGTTGTATGTAGTCTGTCGTCAACTTTGCAATTGCTTTGTCTGATTGTTTTGATACTATACATAGGTACCTCAGGTAAACCTCGCTCAGATTTGTTCATTTCATGATATGATGTTTTCAATTATCTATTTTGATGAATATTTTTGGTAAAAAGACGGGTTTTTGAATTCTTGTTAGTCTGATTGCTTTGATACTATACATATTGTTCATTTTTGCTGGGAAAGGATTGACCAGCTTTGTTATTAGTCCAAGAAAATTGTTCAGCTTGGAATGTGTCTGAACCCCTCATTAGTATGCAAGAATGTAGGAATGTACCAAGAAAATTGTTTTTCTGGAGTAAATTGTAGTGTATTTTACTTATGAAAGGTCAAAAAGTGCTTGGAGATTTTATAAAAATGTGTGGATGTTAACAGAATGATGTCGTTTGGTCACAGTTGCGCAATAAATGATGGACTATTTTGGGCGTAGCTATAAAATGTCACCGAAGTACTCACCCGTGTGCATGATTCCAATAGTTTGTGCTGTGCAGAAGCTCCATTAAAA